CCTTTATAAGTGTCTTATTGTAAAGTCCCGGTTGGTAGGGGCTTGTTTTAATTGTAAAGAAGAATATTCAGAAAGGATTGTCTGTAGCAGCTTTCCATCCTTCGATGAAACAGATTGAAGCCTCTGAGACCTGATCTGTGTTTTTGCAGGTATCCCAGTTCCTACGCTTTTCTTCATTTGATAAAGTGAAGAGCATGGCACAACACTTGAGAGGTCTCAGCACCAAAGACAATTTAAGTTTAGCAGGTATGCGTATTCTGCTGTCCTCACCCACAGCGCTGTTAGATCGCTGAGGTGCGTTGCACTATTATAGGCATGTGATATATATCGGTGTCATTGCATGATGACAATTCTGCAACTAGGCCTCATTCTGACACTGATGGGTGTGTCGAGTAGAAGAATCTAGTGTCAGCATCCTGCTGTGTGATCAAAAGCATGAACACCCATAAACGTTGACCCAGCTGTGAGCAATCTCATTCTTCGTCTCTTGTTTCTTGTTCCCTACACTATCTAGAGATGAGTTGAAGGCCAAGACCATGGTCTCAGTAGTATATCATCTCACACCACTTCTACTAAGGAAGATCAGCAGGATTGCTTGTTAACATGTCACTGCAAAAAACTCCTTTTTATCCGAGCTGTGTTGGTCTCACTGACTTCATACACTTTCGTTGGTTTTGTTGATGTTGCAATCTCTGTTCGCTCAGTGTGACTTGAGGCTGGTTGGAATGTACTGTCACCTACCGAATGTATGATGTCCGTGCCATGTGGCACATATCATTTCCATCCAGCAGGTGCCTGTATCGCTCTGGTGTCACTCCAATCCTTCACCTTATGTGGAGTAGACCGGTGATCGCGGACAGGCATCTACGACTACGCGCTGTCTCTGACGGTAGTCTTGTACAAATCATGGATGCTGCTTGTTTGGATATCTTAAGTCGATCTAGTCAAGCAGATGTGACCAATGTGAGTAAGTCCATAATAAACTGGTGTAAGCAACGCGTTTCTTGTGGTTATTTATTGACGTTCAAAGCACAGGTCTCATGGGAGATAGGATAGTCTGCGCAGCGTCATTAGTTCTGAATGCAAAGCTCATATACAAGATAATCGTCAGACAGAGTATTGTGAAGCATGACTTTAACGACTCAGTTAAATCTGTTATCACACGGATAAAGTCCATATACGCTAGACACCTGTAGGCTTGATACGGCTGCTAGAAAAAGTATAACGGTTTTAACAGGTTTATGGATGTTCCATCACTGTAGTGTGAAGAGGAGTATATGAATTTGGAAGTTCAAACTTTGTGTGAAGAGTGTTGTGTCACTTAATGTCTTGCTAAATCAGTTCTGTGGCCTTGACGTGCTGTGAATACTGTCTCATCTTTATAGTATGCTGAGAATACAGCACATATCAAGATCGGTACTGAGTATTGTCGGACCATGCTTTAGAACATTTGGTTTTAGCTTATAAGGTAACATAGATCTCCGTACATGCATTACTTTCGTTTTCTTCTTTCATCTTCCTCAAGCCGCCTTGGTCCCTGTACTCATCCTGCCATATTCCTGAAGAGATGGGGGAAGTCATTTCACTCGTGTTTGCTCCTTGTGTGGTCAACAAATGTTGGAGTTCTCTCACACTGGCAAGATCTGGGTCATGGCGCAGAAGGCAGGTACCTTGGTGTGCGTGGAGGAAGGGCAGCATAGACTTGAGCTTCTGCGGAGATAGCTGTGCATGAGTGGGTTTTGGTAGTACCCACTTCATCCTCTGGCAGCAACCGATTGAGTTGTAACTGCCATCCCAGACCACTTCTCTCTTTGCATCTGCATTAAAGTCTGCCCCAGAAGCATGTCAGATGAGAGCACAACCATTGGTGTATAAAGTTTTCGTTCATCGTGCTCTACCTTTCCAACAAATGCACCTGCCATCAGGTTGATCATGTGCCTCTGTGGCTGTCTCTGGCAGTTTCTTCATCTCGCACAATACAGACGCCAAGACTGCCTGCCCATATTTGTAGTGTCCTTGCTCAGTGAGGGTAACGGTAGTCATCATGGCTGATCTCGGTTAAGGATCAATCCTGCCCAGTAAACCTTCCCCGCTGGTAGTATAGATGGAACCTGTGGAGAATGTCTGACATCTCCAGAAAGATTGACCAAAAATGCAGAGGGGTGCTCAGTTCAGAGATTCCTGGGAAAAGTAACATCTGTTCTTGTAGGATTGAT